TTCCAGACCTTTCATGTCAATCTGGTTGATGAATTCTCTGAAAGAGCAAAGATATTTGAAGATTACTGAATCAGTTTACGAGCATAAAAGGTCAAAGCTTGAATATGTACTCATAAATGAATGACAGTTGGCCTAATACTATCTGCAGTTGTTGAAAAAGGTTAGGATTTTTTATTTTATACGTTTGATCATATAAATGAGATTTATTCATACTATTTCTTTTAGGCTGATTTAGGTCTGATATTTGTATTTTCCTCCACCAGATGAGTAGAACCAACGTTTCAATTGCATTTTACATGGTCTTGCTTTGCAAAAAGAAATTCTCATCCCTGCCGGATATGACTACATTCCACTTTGGACAAAAATACCTTCTGGAAAGCAAGGGTATGTGAAATTAAGTGGAAGAATACGGCCCACTTACATCAATTTTGGGATAATTCATTTCCCAGTCCTGCTTCAACTTAAACGAAATAGAGTGAATACATCTCATATAAATTGTTTAAAGGTCTTGTTGAAACCCCAACCTAGCCGAGAACAACAAAAGATGCAGAGATACAATTATCGCCCTTAAGCCTCTGACTTTTCTGTTTGTACCTCATCCACAAAGCCCAGCCAAGAAAGGGGAGAAAATACGCCTAAAAATGTTGTAATATGACTTTTTATTTCTAGGAAAAATTGTTAGGAAGGAATTTATGAAATGATTATGACGGAAACTGGAGGAATGAAGACTGTTGGATTGTGCGAACAAGTCCCCGGCGGTGACAAGCATAATCTGGCAAAGAATTCAGATTTCGTCTCGAGTAGGTTTTCGATACCACCAATAATTCATAAAGGATTCATACTTTACGAAATAGCGCAAAAAAATACATTTAACCAAGACGAAACCTTAGCGCAACTACATCGGAGATTCGCAGGATGATGAGCGATCTACTTTCCGTTTCCGGGGAGACCATTTCACGAATTCATTCCAATTAAGTTTTTCTTCGAAATGCAAAGTCGTTTGACAATCAATCAAAAAGTGAATCCTTCGAAAAGCAGTTTTTATCTACGCCTAAATATGGACAAGAAACAAGTCGCTACTGACGCTAGGTCTATATGCATTTGGATAAGATTCGGTAAAACTTACATTGCAACTTTGGTTGCCATGGCATCAGAAAGGGTACCAAAGTATTCCCCGACAGCTTGGCGGCTGATGTCCTCGTGGGAGAGGAAGCGAGCAATATCAGCAGATTCCATGGTGAGAATCTTGTGCTGGATCAAGTAATCAATTCCTTTTTTTGGAGACCTGTAAATTGTCGTAAACAAGTGAAGAATATTAGAATAGTGATATGATAAAATAATATAGGGTGGTATATAATCATGATATCCATTCATCCATTCTTCCATTCATCCATTCATCCATTCATCCATTCATCCATTCATCCATTCATCCAT